AAATATTCATTTATCTCCGTGTTACTCCGAGATAATGCTTTCTTACGCTGTATTATATATTGCGTACAGGGCTTGACTTATGTCTTCGGTATCATGGGGCACCCTGTGATTGATTTGGCTTTAACTATGCAATCCGTTGGTATGCAGTACCTGGGTTTTAGAAACGAGCAGGCCGCCTGTTACGCCGCGCAAGCTTACGGATATTTAACGAGTAAGTAGAAGTTTTTTTTATATGAATTGTATATGCGTTTCAATATTAATGTGTATGCTCGAAAGTGTGGAAAAGGATAAATGTGACAAAGTCACAATCAACGTTACAAAACGCGATAATTCTGTCGCTCGATTAGACGTTTACAACAGCGATCAGATCGCTGTTTAACGAAACGAGTGAAATAAATAAGAGCGGGAAAATAAATAAAATGAAAAAGATAAACTTATATAAAATATAGAATTTTCATCTAGGGAAACCTGCGGTGGTGTTGTGTGTCTCTGGTCCGGGATTGCTGCACGTTATTGGCGGTATGGCAAACGCGCAAGTAAATTGTTGGTGAGCATTGAATCATGCGATTCATAGTATCTTGATAACTTGCTGAAATCATGTTAAACGAAGTATATATCATCGGCAATATAACCGTGAAAATAAAGTATCATCAGAATATGAAACATCAGAGCTCATATATGTATAATACATGAGAATACGTAATATACAGTAGATTCTCGATGGAACGGAGGTGAATTAATTAATTATTTTTTCGTATCTTACGGAAAGATCGACACGTGCGGCAATTTTCGACGCAATTTTGTTTCCTGCGTGCCTAGGAAATCGTCGTGGAAATTGTTCATCCAACTGCCGTCTGACTTATGATTACGATCTGATTACATTGAAATCACAACGATGCATCGAGACAATTACGTCATTGTGGTCTGTGGATTTTTCCTTCTGAAAACATCGGGCTCTCGGACATGCAATGCACATTTTTTGTTATCTATAAAAATTATACGAAATTGATTTCACCTCGTTTTGTAGCTAAAATTTATAACTTATAATTAGATTTTCCAACGCGTTAAGAAATAACCGCGAACACGTATTCAAAATCAGTGTTTTGATCAAGCACCTGTTTCGGCAGGCCTGTGCTCGTACTAGGAGGATCTTGTCCGGAGGATCACGAGGGTATCGGTGGGTTTCAGGAATGGCCACAGGTCGAGGCAAGTAGACCGTACTGCAAATACGCGGCAAGGCCGCCGTCAGCTGCACTCATACCATTACATGTCGAAAAGGCCGTACGACTCGCCACTTATGGTAGACCAGGTGAGAAGGGCCAAGCTTCTACAGTTTTCAGATTAACTTAGGGAAACATGAACGCTCAATGAATTCTAGATGTCGGCTGAAAGAGATGAAGAAAGCTTCACGACAGCGAAATTCTAATAAGAAACCAAATAAATTTTTTTTAATTTTATTTCGCACCTTTATTTATATAGTTACATTATTTGCAGGCGCTGCATATCTCGACTTATCTGCTACATTATTGAAGCAAAACGTGGATGAAAGTAAGATTGCTAAGGTTTTACCCTGTCCACCGGCACCTCTATCGTATCCCGATGCGAAATTAATCGAGCGGGCAGCAAATTTACTGATAAAGGCGAAGAAACCTTTGGTGATAGTCGGCAAAGGTAAACTTATGAATTTACATAAAATTTTCATTATTCCGATCATCCTTTCTCTTTCCCTTTTGCCTTATGCCTTTTGTACACACAGGAGCTGCTTATGGTCGAGCCGAAGATCAAGTGAGAGAGCTTATCTATTCGACAGATGTACCCTTTTTACCAACTCCGATGGGAAAAGGCGTTGTACCGGATACGGACGAGCGTTGCGTCTCTAGCGCGCGAACGTATGCTTTGCAACATTCCGATGTCATTTTATTGTTAGGCGCGAGATTAAATTGGATGTTGCATTTTGGACGCCCACCCAGATTTCAAAACGACGTTAAAGTTATACAGGTAAATCAGTGGTCCCTAATGTAATCCCTTAAAAATGAATTGCGTCAAAACTTTTTAAACGAATTTTTTATATTAATGTAAAACTCTGTAGATCGATTTGTGTGCCGAAGAATTGCACAATTCCGTGCCGTCTGCCGTCGCTATACAATCCGACATTGCGCCCGCGACGGAATATCTGGCAAATGCATTGAGAAGTCGAAAATGGCACGTCAACCGAAATCATCCGTGGTGGAAGGAGCTCGTAGCGAAAACCGAGCAGAATAAACAATCAGTTCACGTGAGCTGTCTTAATTATGACTCAAATAAAAATTCTCTTTCCGTATGATTCATTTGTACAGTTTCTTTGTATATTTACAGCAAATGTCGATGGATACCAGTGTGCCTCTGAATTATTATACCGTATTCAAGCATATTCAAGATGTCTTACCAAAAGGTGAACACATATCATTCAGATACACACTTCTATAGAGATTTCGTAGAATTTATAATTTATTTTTCATCACAAGATATCACATTTTATTTTATATTAACAATTAATAATTAAGAAAAGAGAATCGGTAATAAAAATGTCTCCCTTACGTATTGATTGATTTGCAATATCAGTTTGGAAAATGGCATGTTGAATATTATGTCTTTATAATACTACATCTACATTCTTTTCACACACGCAGACTGCATTATTTGTTCCGAGGGAGCTAATACGATGGACATTGGACGAACTATTCTTTTGAACAATCTGCCTCGCCACAGACTAGATGCCGGGACGTTCGGCACTATGGGCGTAGGGCTTGGATTTGCGATCGCAGCTGCCCTTTATTGTAAAGACAACGCACCAAAGAAGAGAGTGATTTGCGTGGAAGGAGACAGTGCCTTCGGATTCTCCGGCATGGAGATTGAAACTATGTTTCGGTAATCTCAGTAGAATTATCAAGAAAAACTGCTGTTTCACGAAGAATGTAATGACATCGACCTTCCTTTCTCTGCAGTTACAAACTACCCGTGATTATTATAATCGTCAATAATAACGGTATATATGGTGGTTTCGATCAAGAAACCTTCAAGCAGATACAGGCGTCTGGAGATCCTACGCAAGTGTATGCATCTCTCTATATAATTTTATCATAAAAAATTATATTTTAAATATTTAGATAATTATATGTTAAAATTAGATATTTTTGACTTTATTAATTTTTCTCATGTATCGGCTTCCACACATCCAAACTTTTACATCGGTTATTAAAATTATATTTTCAGGACACCTCCGTTTTCTTTAACAGCTAATATTCATTATGAGAAACTAATGGAAATGTTTGACAAGAAAGGATATTTTTGCACTACTGTGGAGGACATTCAGCAGGCATTAAAATTATCTTTCAAGGTAAGATCGTTATTAAGTTAGCTCTTTTAAAATCGATGGAAAATACATAAATTATAAAATGTTTCAGGTGTTTGACGGTCCCAGTTTAATAAATATCATGATTAATCCGCAAGCAGATAGAAAGACGCAACAATTTAACTGGCTAACAGAATCAAAATTATAGATTTATGTGGCATAGGCAGCAAAATGCTGTTATTCCAATGGTTCTTTTCTCAGAACTGTATTTTTTACAGGCTCTTAATTAATATAATCATGTTTTGTAGACTTTTAATTAATGTCATTAAAGTAAAATAATACGAGTCATAGAGATAAAGATTATTTTTTTTAAAGCTTATTTTTTATATATATGTTACATATATCTCTGGTTTTATAAAAATATATTGAATATACATATCATCAAAGGGATAAAAGGTAAAAAGTGTAAAAATGTGCAATGTGAAATACACGCCTAAAAATTATGTGTTTCAGACATTTATTTGGTCAAATTTCTCTGTAACTGTTGTGGATGTGATCGAACCCAGCAAATTCGGCTCTAACCTGTCATTGCGCTCGCTGTCAGTGATAATCTCTTCTATGTTCATTCCCATTTCTTGAGCCTGCATGGCCAACGCTTGATTTGCTGTGTTGACTACCGCGTGCAGGTGTCCATTTTCCTTCACAAACTCCTTGATCAGCTCCAACTCTTTCTTTCTGAAAGTACAAAATTAATGCAATCCAACTATCACCGTCGGAGCATCCATCACAAAAATAACTATAAAAGTTTTACATTTTCAGACTAACGTCGTTGATGGAAATTAATGTTCTCTGGATTGTTATCCCGACGTCAGTTTCCGAATCCCTGTCAGACCTCATTGTTGTGTTTACACAAGTTATTCATACACCTGTAATTAAGATTATTAATCCGTTAGTCATATTGCGAGTCACCTGTAAACCATATTCCGCAAATATATTCGGCAAGATTTACCGGCGTCGTAGAGTTTCAAAAATCGGAAACGATAAGAACGTAACCACTTTGACTTGATCCGCGCGCACGATAGGAAGCTGCCAGAGAGAAACCTGAGAGAGGCCATCCCGGGCCCCGGCCTTTTTCGTGTGTTGCTGTGTTGCTGTGTTGCATTTTCCGACGCGCAGCCTGAGAAAGTGCAACTCAACTACGTCGTATCGCTCGGTAACCGCACATGGTTTGCGTCCGTGCTAATGGTTCGTGTCCAAACTAGCCAGCTGGAGGGGATCATGGTATAATGTGTTGGGCGTTATCTGTATATAACCTGAGATTCTGAGAAAGGCCAATTCCGGCCTTCCATTTTCGAAATTGCATATTAGATACTTGACATATAATATAAATATATAAAATAATAAATAAGTATCTATATATAATATCTATATGTTTAATTCATATCAGGATCATAAAGGAAAAACTGACTGCTGTGTGAGGCAAGCGTATGGCATTTATTGTTAAAATGAGACAAATGCATAAACGCGAAAGTAAAAACGAGACGTGTAGTGACGCCGCGGCGCTTTTGAAATTGCCGCGCGGCGCGCGAAAAACGCGGGAAGCGCCTCCGCCATATTGATGACGTATAACCTTCTCCTTCCATGTCCATTTCCAGAAGGCGGCTGACACGGAACGGATCGGCTCCGGAACGAGCGACGTCGCGACTCATTTAATTGGTAAGTATAACACATATTAATCTTGCATGCATTATATTCACTGCGGTATCTATCGCGTAACATAGATTTAGCGCTCGGGTATTGATATTTCTTAAAAATACGTATTCCGCGATACTTGTCCGGCCGAAGGCGCGTCGCACGAGCAATCGCGAAAGTGACGATCGTATTTTCGAGTGTCGTGCCACGAATATCGCGGATATTTGCCAATAATATTAATACGCTTATCGCTAGAATGCGAAAGAACAACTGCAGTAATAAGCGAGTTAGTAAATATTTGATTTCTCAAAGTTCGGAAAAATCATGATCGCGAACTTAAGTTGGCTACGGAACGCGTAGCGACGCCGCGGCGCTTTTGACGCGTGAAGTTGCCGCGCGGAAACGAAGCGCCTCCGCCATATTGATGACGTACTCCCTTCCCTTTCATTTCCAGAGAGTGGCGGACACGAAACGGATCGGCTCCGGACCGAGTGGCGTCGCGAATCATTTAATTGGTAAGTTTGACACATATTGATCTTGCATGTATTATTCACTGTGGTATCTATCGCGTAGTATAGATTCGACGCGACGCTCGGGTATTATAATGATTCTTGAAAATACGTATTCTCTCCGCGATACACACACACACACTTGTTCGGCAGCAAGACGTGTTGCGAGGGTAATCGCGAAAGCGATCATATTTTCGAATGTCGCGAATATCGAGGACGCGCCGCGACGCCGCGACGCTTTCGGTACAAGAAATTGCCGAACAGGAGACGATGAAGCGCCTTCGTCATATTAATTACGTTCTCTTTTTATTTTCAGAACGCAACGAATACGAGACGGATCGGCTCCGAAACGAGTGGCATCGCAACTTATTTAATTGGTAAGTATATACATATATATATATATATATATATATATATATATATATATAAATTGGTATATATATTATATGTATATTTTTTTAACATGTGTATATATTATAAAGTGATCTGAAAACGACACTGCGCAAATAAATATTTATTTCTATCAGTAACAATTATTAATAAAAGATTATAGATTATTAAATGCTTATCTCGCGATCTGATACATTTGGTCTTCGCTTCCTTAATTTTGGCTCTTCTTTTTTTCCGTATTGTTATTTCTTCGTGGCACTCACATCTGTTTTCTAAAACAATGAAAGTATCATACAAGATATGGCAAACTTACGCGAAAAAGCAATATTGCTTGCTTGCTTACACACCACTTTATTAAGTATTTAATTTAGGACGAATATATGGGGAAGAGGTTAAAAGAAATACATGCTTAAAATAAAAATAAAAAAATTACTTTTACACACAAGTTTTATTCGTAATTTCAATACATTTTTAATCAAAGAATAACATCTTAATGATAATGCATTTTTTAGATATCAACTTGTATAA